AAAAAAATTTATTGAAATATATTTCATGTATATATATATATATATATATATATATATATATATATATATATATATATATATTCGATTAGAATTTTGAATTGAAAAAACATACATTTTAGAATTTAAGAACAATTTTAAGATTAAAATTAGAAATAAACCAATAAAAAACTTTTCAAAACATTGATTCAATTTTATTTTAAAATATGAAAGGTAAATACAGGAAACGAAATATTCACATAATTTAATTAAACAATAAATGAATCCTTTTAAATAGAATACTTTACAACGTGGCCTTTTCAGCGAGGAAGAAACCATTTGACTGGATCCTGCTCTCATTCAAGGCAACTATAGAGCAAGAGCAAGGTGTATATACAGCCGCCCTCTAACGGTGATTGAAGTTCATTTTGGTTCATATCTTGGATCATGGAGAGGTCTCCCTCTAATGAAAGACCCCGCAAATTGAAGACCACCTCCAATTAAAGACCACGTTTCTGTGGTCCCAAATTAACAAATGTCTTTTATTTGAAGCATTCTAATTAGAGACCAAAGCTGCTAAAGACAATGAAAACCCTGGTCCCAAAATTGGTCTTTAATTGGAGGGAGACCTGTATAAATTAATGAATTTAGTGGACAGCTTGGTGCTCGTTCAGTGTCGATAAATTTCATTCTCGTATTGGTATGTTCGTATCGGCTAATTATGCCAACTATTGTACCATGAAGCCTACCTCCAATAATAGTAGCTGATGTTGTCGAATACTTCGCAAGTTTTAACCGCTGTTTATTTTGTTGTACTGTGATGGTTACTTTTGTTGTTGTTATTGTAATATGTGTTTGCAGGACCATATTGTAAAACAGCGGTAAGATCTCGCCTGTATATGTTATCCTGCCTAAAGATGTTTTAAATAAATAAAAAAATAATAAATAAATAAAATAAATGATTAATCTCTCCCGGTAGGATTACTCACTGAATTGTAAAACAAAGGATCAACCGGCGGAAGCGGGCGAGGGGGAATTGGCCCCTGGGTGGATACAGTTCTTGTAACTTTGGGCACCTATTTTTTAGTTTTTTTTAAAAATTCAATTTCTCAATAAAATGAAGTTCCATTTCCGGGCAGCCAGAGGTACAAAATACTGAAAATTTCTCACGTCACCACTGCCCGTGGTATTGTTCACGTGCGCGTCTGCAAAGCTTTCTTGAAACTTACCCTTGAGCATGAATAAAAGAATGCAATCGCCCGCCTTGCGTGAATTCTGTATTTAGGCAGAGGGCGGAGGTAGGCACTCCTTACACTCTAGTTCTCTTTATGTTTACCATGAAGAAGTAAATGTGTAACCGATGGGCTTAGCCTGCAGTAAGCCAACAAACCAGCGTAATATAACCACATTTAAATTCCATCTATTTAATGAACAATAAAAAAAAAATTTTAAAAATTAAATTAAATTAAAAATAAAAAAAATAAAATTAAGTTCTCTGAAGGTAATTTGGTATATAATGCAAGTGTGATAGATGTTCCAGAAAAAGTTAACGAAATTGTGTTTAAATTCATTTGGAATGACTCCACAGAAAAGGTTAAACGTAAAACGCTAATTGGAAATACAAATGATGGTGGGTTGAAAGCACCTGATTTCTACACTCAATGTCTTGCACTCAAATTTCAATGGATAAAAAGGTTATGTGGCGAAGATGGGTTATGGAAAGATATTCCAAAGTATTATTGTATGCAGAAATTTGCACCCCTGAAAGTCCTTATACATATTAGTTGTCTGCAAATAAATGATAATATACATCTTAAAAATATTTCAAAATTTTTTGTTGATGTGCTTAAATCAATTGTACTAGAAAATAAAACCAACATTTCACAACTTGGAAATTTAGATGTTAATGAAATAAAGAAACAACTGCTATGGGAAAATGATGCCATTAGATTTAAGAACAAACGTTTGTTTTTTAGTGAGTGGATTAATTCCAATATAATTTATGTGGGTGATATATGTGAAGGTAATAGATTAAAATCACCAACTATGTTAAAAGCAGCTTTTACATGCAATACCAAAACCATGGATAGAGCAAATATTAGTAAGATAAACAAGAAGCCTTCAATTATAAACGAAAACACTGAGTTGTTAAAGGTTAATTCAAAAACGTATTATACTAAACAAATAAAACAAATATTTTGTGAACCAACTTCCCAGAAGCAATGGGAGAATATCGTTCAAGGTAAACATTTTGACTGGGATTTAATATGGAGTAATAAGGTCTTCAGAATAAAAGAAACAAGACTAGCAGAGATGAATTTTAAGAAAAAAAGAGGAAAATGAAAAGCATATATGTTTTATGAGTGTCAAAGACTTAAAGGTTATTGGGATTGTGTAGTTAACATAATTAACAAACTGGAAAAACAGAATGTAAAAATGCTTTCGTATATTGATATTATATTTGGAGTTAAGAATGTGAAAAGCAATGAATTAATTACATTAGCTTGTTATGTAATTTACAAATCATGGTTAAAAGCAGAAGGAAAAATAAAAAATGATAATTTAAACAGGATGCTTATTGCTGAGCTAAAATTAAGGTGCAAACTATAGTCTAAATTAAAGAAAATGTAATGATGTGAATTGAAAAAAAAAACAACCTAAAATTGTTAAATGACAGTAAATCAATTGTACAAAATTAAGATGGAAATGAAAAGGTGTAGAACTGAGATTAATTTATTATGTAATTGATTTATTTTACACACTAAAAAGCAGAAAAAATGTCAAATCAAACAGGATGTTCATTGTTGAACTAAAATTAACGTCTAATCTAAAGGAAATGTAATGATGAGAATTGGGGGGGGGGGAAGAAAAAACTAAAAAGTGTTAAATGAAAATAAATTATTTGTAAAAAATAAGATGAAAATGAAAATATGTAGGAAAACAGAGATTAATTTATTATGTTCTTATATTGATTTTATGTA